AGAGAGAGAGAGAGAGAGAGAGAGAGAGAGAGAGAGAGAGAGAGAGAGAGAGAGAGAGAGAGAGAGAGAGAGAGAGAGTCAGGGAATGAGGTCTGCTGTATCTGTATCACGCACAGAGAAAAGGGCTGAGGAATCCTCGGAAAAGAGGGGAAAGGATCTCTCGAGTGGGATAAGTTTTTTTGCTTAGACTGGTCCATCACAAAGAAATTGGGGAAGAAGGGGACTTTCTAGCAACTGGCAAAGCTCATAGGGACGGGAGAAGAGACTGCTAGTTTGCAATATGCAATCAGACTCGTCTCATTCACACTTCTCATGCATGTAAACAGTATCACAGCAAACTGGCGACATGCGCCCACACAGAACTCAGAGATATGGTATCCAGGTAAGAGTTCACTTCCACTGGCTATGGCGGCTCAGCGCCCAACAACTCACTGTGCACACACAGGATCACCCTGGATATCCCACACGCGACACGCTGAACATTCGCACCACACACACACCTCACTCTACACTACAGCTATGGCAGCGATGGCTGCCTCTACCCTATCACTATGGCTGCACTTCGTCACTCTCGACCACTTCGACTTCGGGCTGCTGCAGACCTCCTCGCACAAGCCGCTGAGACAGCGCTTCCGCATGGCTTCCGCAGGAATGAATGAATGGTTGTGCGCGGCCTCTTGATTTATACTTCTGTGGCTCGTCGGCCTGCCCTGTTTCCCTGGCCCACGATGCACACAGTCCCAGGCAGTACTTGCTTGACTGGACTGGACTGACTGGACTGGGACTGCTGACTCTGCACGGTGGACTTCCACCACTTGCCCACTTGCCTTGACCTACAGTGGGCTAACTCCGAAAGGCCACTTCTAGAAGCATCTACTTGGCCTTTCGGTCCTGTATCAGCTACGACTTTGGCCCTTTCATGTAAGTAGCAGCTACGACTTTGACCCTTCGGAAAGTCTACAGCTAAGACCTCTGGACTCTCTAGACTCCTACCCGACAGGTCTACAGTTTGAATCCCTTATACCCTGTAACCTACGATGACCTACCTACCACTGGCAGTCCTACAGGTCGCAGGTTCAACTCTACGGGTTGACACAGGTACTGTACACGGGTAAGGTGGGGACTAGGGATCGAGCCCTGGGATCTGCATCAGCTACTGCGAACTGGTGAA